TGCCCTAACTGGCTTTGAACCTCGATCCTCAGATCTCCTCAGCCTCCTGAGTAGCTAGCATTACATGTGTGAGCCACTGGCACCTGGCCTATACCTATCTATTTATATTTGAGTCTCTCTCTCTCTCTCTCTCTCTCTTTCTTTCTCTCTTTCTCTCTCCCTCTCTCTTCTCTCTTTTTTTTCTTCTTTTTGTTATCAGTACTGGGGCTTGATCTTGGGTTCTGAAAACTGTCCCTTAGTTTTTTTGCATGAGGATAGTGTTCTACCACTTGACACACACCTCTACACTCAGCTTTTTTTGGGGGGGTGTGGGGGAGTCTGGTCGTGAGGCCTGAACTCTGGGCCTGGGTGCTGTCCCTCAGCTCTTCAGCTCAAGGCTAGCGCTCTACCACTTGAGCCACAGCGCCACTTCCAGCGTTTTACTTTTTGCGTATGTGTTGCTGAGGAATCGAACCCAGGACCTCATGCATGCAAAGCAAGCACTCTACCACTAAGCCACCTTCCCAACCCACTCCCAGCTTTTTGTTAACAAAAAAGTCTCATAGACTTTCCTGTCTGCTGGCTTGGACCCATGATCCTCATATCTCAGTCTCCAGAGTAGCTAGAATGACAGGCATGAACTAGGGTCAACCAGTTGCCATCCTCCATTTCTAAGTTACATGTATGCAGTGCAATTACCATCTAGCCCCAGCTTTAGAATCCTAACACATTATTATTCTATTTTCCTGCCTTCTGGTTTTAAAAAAAAGTGTAAACTTAATGATGGAACAGAAAGAGTAAAACAGTAATTTGTACTCTTTCAGCTGTTAATTCATTGATTTGACAAATTTGAGTACCTGCTGTATGCTAGGCACTGTACAAAGATCAAGTCCCTGCCTTAAAGGAGTACAGTATGATGAGACAAGCAGACACATAACTGAGTAATTACAGTTGTGAATGTAGTAATTAATGTTCAGAATATTATGGGATTGCAGAACAGAGACACTTCCCCTGTCCTTGGGGAACCCAAATAAGAATATAAATGCTGGGCATGGTGGCACACACCTGTAATCCTAGCATTTGAGAGGCTAACAGTGAAGGACTGAGAGTTGAAGGCCATCCTGGGCTATATAAAAGGCCCTATCTCAAAAGAAAAAGAGAGAGAGAGAGAAAGGGGGGGAGGGGAACAAAAGAAATAAAGAGACAAAGGCATAATCTATCTTAAGATCTGTGACACTTGGCTAAAGGGGGCACTGGAGTGCTCAGACTTTTCTGGTAGGTAAATTTGTGATTTGAAGTAAAAGAAATAACTTTAATAAGTAAAAATAACTTGTTTTTGGTCAGTCATGGGGCTTGAACTTTAGGCCTAGGTGCTGTCCCTCAGCTCTTCAGCTCAAGGCTAGCACTCTACCACTTGAGCCACTTCTGATTTTCTGGTGTTTAATTGGAGATAGGAGTCTCATGGGCTTTTCTTTCTTTTTTTTTTTTTTTTGCCAGTCATGGTGCCTGAACTCTGGGCCTGGGCACTGTCTCTTAGCTCTTCAACTCAAGGCTAGTGCTCTACCACTTGAGCCACAGCGCCACTTCCAGCTTTTTCTGCTTATGTGGTGCTGAGGAATCGAACCCAGGGCCTCATGCATGCAAGGCAAGCACTCTACCACTGAGCCACCTTCCCAGCCCTCTCATGGGCTTTTCTGCCTGAGCTGGCTTTGAACAGCAATCCTCAGATCTCAGCCTCCTGAGTAGCTAGGGTTACAGGCATGAGCCACCAGCGCTCAGCTATTAGACTCTTATCTGCAATTAACCATTAAAAAGCTGAAAGTGATGCTATGACTCAAGTGGTAGAGTGACAGCCTTGATTGAAAAAAGTAAGGGACAGCATTCAGACCCTGAGTTCAAGTTCCAGTAATGGTGCTTGTGTGCTTGCACATACTTGCAAAGAAAATAATGTCTTGTCTTTATATGTACTTCTTCACCTAGCTCTAGGAAAAACAGACATAAGTACAACATGGGGCTAAATAAAGGTTTGTAAACTCTTCTCTGGCATGGTCTCTGTTACACTTGAGAATTAAAAAGGTACCATCACCAGGTTAGAGGAAGATTAGTGCTGTTTAGGTTAAGATACAAACAAAAACAAATAAAAACTTAACTAGATTTGCAACCACTTGCCCTCACATAAAATTAAAATATGAAGAAAAACTCAAGGTTAGCTGCACTTGAGGTTTTCTAAATTATAGGATTGAAGGGGTCTATATAACATAATTTTAAACTAAAAAAAAAAAAAGTTCAGGGTTGAGTATGTAGCTTAGTGGTAGAAGGCACATTTACCCTATACCTGCAAGGCCCCAGTAGCACAGATACCCACACAAAAAATTAAATTAAAATTTAAAGAAGTTCAGGTAGCTGGTTGTAGTAGCTCATGCTTGTTATCCTAGCTACAGGCATAGATAAGAGGATGGCAGTCTAAGCAGGCCCAGACATAAAGTGTCCCTTTCTCAAATTAAAGCAAAAATGGGTGGAGGTATGGCTAATGTGGTACAATGTCTGCCTGGCAAGCACCAGGTCCTGAATTCAGCCACCCCTCCAAAACAAAAACCCAAAGCAAACAAAAAAACCTATATACCCCAAACCCCCAGAAGAATCATAAGTTAGAGGCCAGCCTGGGCTACATAATGAGTTTGAGGACCTGTCTCATGAAAAAAAAAAAAAAAAGTTCATTCTTTACAATAATCTTGTGATTGCTTCCATTTTATAGCCAAGAGAAGTGAAACACAAAGATTAGACCATACAGCAGAGCTGAGATCTGAACCCATGGTGAGTTCATTTGAACCCATGTGGTTTTAATCCTAGTGCTGATTACTAACTATACTATTCTACCCCCAAATAGAAACCTTGGTGGGCCCATTGATCTATTTGTTGGCTTACCCTGGCAGGATGAGCTGGTCTGGACAACTAACAGAGTAGATGTCTGGGCCAGAAAAATACTGGAAAATATTGGCAGTGTCATGTTTGAATGGAGACATCTTACTATCGTGGATGCCCTTGAAAGTATTTTAATCCTTCTCATGAAGCCTGTTATAAGATATGATTAAGATAAGACAGAATTGAAGTAAATTCTAGATTTAAATACGCAGAATATTTTATCGATTAGTAGAGAATAGTAGTAGTGAAAACAATATAAAAGTTAATTTCAGGTATTTATTTTTAAATATAACCTTTACCTTATAGTATCTTTCATTACAGGTAGAGTAAGTATATGCGCATTCACAAACAGTATAATACCTGAGACCAAGAGTAAGAATGAACTTTAAAATCATTGGTCAAGAAAGTATATCTAAACCTATTCTCAATAGCTTAATGTATTTGAGCAGATACAGTAGACTATAGAAATAAATATCAAATTAATATCCCAGCACCTGTGGCTCAAGCCTGTAATCCTAGCTACTCAGGAGGCTGAGATCTGAAGATCATAGTTCAAAGACAGACTGGGTAGGAAAGCCCAGGAAATTCACCAACAAAAAGCCAGAAATAAAGCTATGGGCTCAACCCTGAGTTCAAGCCCCAGTACTGGTACATACATAAATCAAATTAGCCTAATATAGGTAAATAATTTGAGCATTGGTATACTACATGTGGAGGAATTGACTGTTGGGTTTAGAAGTATATAAAATGCCATCAGAGTGAAGAAAGGGGAAGTCTGTTATAACTGAAGAGGGGTGTGGTCCGCTCACCCTAAAAGGGATAGATAAAAGTTTTAGAAAGGACCGATAGGATGTGGTAGGCTTCGGAAGCAGCCATTCAGAAGCTAGTCCTTTGCTCTGCAGATTTCAGTATGTCCATGATCAAGAGCCACCATAGTGAGCTGGAGAAACCACAGCGTGTGTGTGTGTGTGTGTGTGTGTGTGTGTGTGTGTGTGTGTGTGTGTGTATTTGGGCATCAGCGCTCTCTGCCTGCACCGAATCCTTGGGGGTAACCGTATACCTCCAAGTGCTGTAACCCTAGTGCAGGTACAAGGATGCTCTAAGTGGTGAGATGGAAGGGCGAGATAGCATCACAAGGATTCGTTTGATTATAACAGTAATCCACACCAAGTCCAATAAAACAGGCCAACCGTTTAAAAAGGGGTCTCTAATGAATTTGCTAACTCTACCAGGCCATCCCAACCACTGCCTGATAGAGTACCCTGTATCAAAACCAAATGGCGGTGCTTTAATTACATACAATAATTATTTCATTTCCAGGAAGTTCAAAACCCTGCTTTGTGTATAAATAAAAACTTCTAGACACGCGGTGAAACTCGATCAAACCAAGAAAAAGGGTGAAACTAAATGCCTGCCCAGTGATTGAAGATTTTGGCGGCTCAGCCAGTTCGACGGGATGGCTCGGGGTACCCAGAAACGGGGCATTTTAATGCTGGCTGGCTGGATCTGGGGGCTTTCTTCTAGAAGCCTTGCTTTTCCAGAGACCCAGAGTGGTGTGCAATCATGGACTGTTGAGGGGCTCGAAACTCGGCTGCCTTCGCCCCTCTGCCCCAGCAGAGACCCCCGTTTTCGAAGGGCAGGGTCTCAGATTGTCGCCCCCCACTTTTGAAGGTCTATTAAAAGCCCGGGGCCTCTTATCTCAACGGCTTTGGGTGTGAGTGTTGGGGTAAGAAGGGGGGGGAGGGCCTGTGGGTATCTCTTTTGCCTGAGGAGTTGGGGACACTTGTGGAAAAGTCAGGCCCTTTTCGCTCCGGCGGCCGCTCCGGTGTGGGGCTGGCTTGGGTTAGACACATGCACACTTACACCATAGAGCTCTGCTTTCCCGTAGCAGCTGCTGCCTCTGCCTCTGCCTCTCCCGCCTCAGCCTCTTTGCCCGGCATACACACACTTTCAGATTTGCGCGCTGTTTCAATCCTTGATGACGTGTCCCCGGAGACAGCCAATAGCAAACGGGCTCTGGTCAGGACAATGGGAGGTATCGGACCAATGAGCGAGCCCGGTGAGTTGGCGGTAGCCAATAGGAGCCGCGCTGGCTGGAGAGTAATGTTACAGAGCGGAGAGAGTGAGGAGGCTGCGTCTGGCTCCCGCTCTCACAGCCATTGCAGTACATTGAGCTCCATAGAGACAGCGCAGGGGCAAGTGAGAGCCGGACGGGCACCGAGCGACTCTGTGCCTCGCGGAGGGTGAGTGTGAGGTAGCGCCGCGGCGGGGAGAGCGCCTCCGGAAGCTCCTCAGCCCGCGCGGCGGTCGGATCCCCGCGGCCGGGAGCCGGCGGGTCAGGCTCCACACAAAGGCAAATGAGGGGGGACCGTGGGGGGAACTGCGCACGGAGCGAGGCTCCGCCGGGCGCCGGGGACGCTGCCCCGCGCCGAGCCCCGGCCCTCGGACTGCCCGCGGCGGCGCGAGCCCCGCGCCCCGCGACTTTCCACCCGCGGCGGCGTCCTCGCTGACGGGAGCAAAAAAAAAAAAATTATTTTTTTCGTCAAAAAATTTTTTTCGGACGTGTTTGGAGCCCGTGGGCCGCGCGCCGGGGCGGACGGCGTGCGCGGAGCGCGGCCGGGGCGGCGGGGCCGGCGGCGGGCGAGCGCGGCGGCGGCGCTTCCCGGCTGCATTGGCGGCCGCCGCAGCGAGCCCAGAGCCAACGGGGAGCGCAGCGGGCCGGCCGGGGCCGGGCGAGGCGGGCGGGCGGGGCAGTGCTGCGGGCGAGGGCGGCGCGGGTGGGCCGGGGGCGCCGGTGCGGGCCCCGCGCGGCCGGGGCGCGGCGGCGGCGGCGGCGGCGGGGGGGAGCGGCGCCGCTGCGCTCGCTGGAACATGGCTGACTCGGGCCCGGCGCTGCTGGCTGGGAGAGAAAACAAGGCGGGCGGCGGGCGGGCGGGGGAGCTGGGCGCAGCAGTTCCGAGGCAACTTTTTTTTTTTTTTTTTTTTTGCCTCTCTCTTTTCACAGCCCCGCGTTCTGCGTGCGGGGGCGGCGGGGCGCGCGGGCCGCGCGGAGGGAGACGGGGAGCGGCGGCGGCGGCGGCGGCGGCGGTGGGCCTGGCGGGCCGCCGGGGGGAGGGGGAGGGGAGGGAGGCCGGGAAGGAGGGAGGGGAGGGGCGCGCGGAGCGGGAGGGGGAGGGGGAGGCAGGCTCGGCGCGCGCGCCCCCCGCCCCTCCCTCCCTCCCTCCCCTCCCCCGGCCGTCATGGCGGGTGTGCGCCGCGCGCGCCCCGCCCGCCGCCGCCGCCTCGCACTCACGCGCACACACACGCGTACACACACACACACACACACACATACATACACACACAAAGGGAAGAAGGAGCCATGTTCGCGCTCGCCCTCGCGGCGGCGGCGCAGGCGGGGAAGACGCGCAGCGGCCATTCCGTGCGCCGGCCCCGGGCGGCCGCGGGCGGAGCCAGCCCCCATTTCGAGCGGGGTTTTTCTCTCCTGACAAAATGGGGGCGGCGGCGCGGGCCTTCCGGGCGCACGTGGCGGCCGCGGATCGGCGGGGGGGGGGGGGGGGCTCCCGCCGGCCGCCTCCGCTGCCCGCCCGGTTGGCGCTCTCGCCTCGGCCTACAGTCTCTCGGGCGTTCCCCGACGCGGGTGGCACCCCAACTTTTTTAAACGAGTCCCGAAACTGCGAGGGTGGGGAGGGAGGGGAGGCGACCGCAGTGGCTTTTGTCCCTCATCCTTGTTTACTGGGAGAAACTTCAGACCGGACGTGTGCAGTGAGCAGCCCGCGCCGGCGCCCGGGCGATTGGAGGCCCGGCCGCTCCCCGGCCCGCGCCCGCCTCCCTCCCTGCCAACTTCGCTGCCACGAGGGGACTTTTTTTTTTTTTAAGTAACCGGGAAAACTTTTCGCTGCACGGTGGCTGCTTTTTTGTCTTTTTTTTTTTTTTAATCGTTTGGAAGACGATCCGAATAGGCGCCTCTCTCTAGTTATTACAAATCCACAAATTGGCAACCCGAGTGCTTTGGATCTCTGACTTCGTTGGTTAGGATGTCTTTGGAGGATGAGATTGTTTAAATGACCGGTGAGACACTCAGAACAGGCCTGAGCCTCGGAGATGGGGAATGTGTGTGAGTGCTGCCTGGACTTCTTGAGATTTCACTTTTTGTTGTGGTCCTTGGGGGGGGGGGGAGGTTGGGGTTTTTTTGTGTTGGTTTTTCTTTTGTTTGTTTTGTTTTTGGCACAGCCACTTCTAGGAATTGACTTATCATTGCCATGTCTGGCTTTTATGGGAGGTTAGTTGTCACTGCTTGTATTAAATGACCAGTACCCTGGTTTTCATTCACTCCCTAATCATTTGAAGCTCTTGTGGTACTTGAGTTGCTAACATCAAATGCTTATTTTACTTAGAAAAACTAAACATGGGCAAAGGAGATCCTAAGAAGCCGAGAGGCAAAATGTCATCATATGCATTCTTTGTGCAAACTTGCCGGGAGGAGCACAAGAAGAAGCACCCGGATGCTTCCGTCAACTTCTCAGAGTTTTCTAAGAAGTGTTCAGAGAGGTGGAAGGTAAGAGGGCTTAAGACATACTAACAAGGTATTAAGCAGTTAATAATTATTTCTGAATTAGGATTGGAAAGGCCTAACTGGCCAATAACACAAGACTATTTATATAGCAAAGGACACTTTTTAAGTCATTTTAATATTTCTGCCTACTTATAATATAGACTATGTCTGCTAAAGAGAAAGGGAAATTTGAAGATATGGCCAAGGCAGACAAGGCCCGTTATGAAAGAGAAATGAAAACCTACATCCCTCCTAAAGGGGAAACAAAAAAGAAGTTCAAGGATCCCAATGCACCCAAGAGGCCTCCGTAAGTATCTGACTTTATTTTCAAGACTTTTTTTTCATAGTAGAGTCAAGAATTTCGTGTGCAAACTCCCTAAGTTTAGAGTGTACTATTTCTTACTAATAACTCTTGAATTTGTTATATATAAGTATTACATATATATAAAGTTGATGTTGTATTGGAGTGTTAAACTCTGAGCATACATTAATTGTAAGTTGTGATATTTACACCCTGCCCAACTCATAGTGGCAGATTTTATATAGCAAAACAAGACATATTGCATATGTTGCTTATTTTTGTGATTTGTTAGTGTACATCAATAAATTTTGTTTTTCAGTTCGGCCTTCTTCTTGTTCTGTTCTGAGTATCGCCCTAAAATCAAAGGGGAACATCCTGGCCTGTCTATTGGTGATGTTGCAAAAAAACTGGGAGAGATGTGGAACAACACTGCTGCAGATGACAAGCAGCCTTATGAAAAGAAGGCTGCGAAGCTGAAGGAAAAATACGAAAAGGTATGAAGTGTGTGGGTTTCCTTGATAGAATGCTAAGATGTTGTTGGGTGACAGTAAAGTTTGAGAAACGGCAGTTTTCGTATGACAGGTATATTGACATGAATTTGTTTGATAAAAGATGGGAGGGCCAGATAGTTTATTTTATGTAATTCCATGTGGAGGAAACTCCAGATATTTAATCTGGTTTTGTTTCATTCCTTGGTATCTCAAATTTGTGAAAGTTTCTGTAGCTGCTTTTGAGTCAAAAGTGTATTTTGAGATGTCAAGTGTACAGTACAAAAATAGGCTGCAAAATGTATTGTTCTGTTTTTTCATAAACATTTATTGATGTATTCATTTCTCTCAGGTAGTCCCAAAAACAGTACTAACAAATTAAAATTTGTCTTCCAAACTTGATAGTTAAAACACATGCTTTAAATTGAGATATTAAATACTTCGTTCCTTTAGTCATTTCTTCTGAGAAATAACCTTTTCTAAAAGTTTCTTAATTGTAGGCTAAACTGGCAAATTGCTTTTTTTTTTTTTTTTTTTTTAAGCAAGATAGATTTCTACTGTGTATTAGGGTCTGGCAGCATGAACCTGTAGAGTGCTTTTTTTGCATTCAGAAGGTGGCAGTGTCTACCCTTTAATCAAAGTCTCCACATTCTAGCTTTAATAAAGCAAGAGTTAGGAAGTGGTACATAATTGCACCTCGGTGAGGCATAGCATTGCATGTATTAGACCATAGTTTTGTAGCTGCCCTGTAGTATTTTTATGTACATTTTTCCAAGTTGTGTTTGTGAAGATGAAATGGTTGCTGTTTTAGTGTACCAGGGATTGAGGTTTTTCATAAAGTCTTGTGTTCAATTTCTCCTTTTACTTAACAGTTTTTCCTTCCTATTGTTTTCTCCCTTTACTTTGGAAGGATATTGCTGCCTACCGAGCTAAAGGAAAGCCTGATGCAGCAAAAAAAGGAGTTGTGAAGGCTGAAAAGAGCAAGAAGAAGAAGGAAGAGGAGGAAGATGAGGAAGATGAAGAGGACGAAGAAGAGGAGGAAGATGAAGAGGATGAGGATGAAGATGAAGAGGATGATGATGAATAAGTTGGTTCTAGCGCAGTTTTTTTTCTTGTCTATAAAGCATTTAACCCCCCTGTACACAACTCACTCCTTTTAAAGAAAAAAAAATTGAAATGTAAGGCTGTGTAAGATTTGTTTTTAAACTGTACAGTGTCTTTTTTTGTATAGTTAACACACTACCGAATGTGTCTTTAGATAGCCCTGTCCTGGTGGTATTTTCAATAGCCACTAACCTTGCCTGGTACAGTATGGGGGTTGTAAATTGGCATGGAAATTTAAAGCAGGTTCTTGTTGGTGCACAGCACAAATTAGTTATATATGGGGACGGTAGTTTTTTCATCTTCAGTTGTCTGACGCAGCTTATACGAAATAATTGTTCTGTTAACTGAATACCACTCTGTAATTGCAAAAAAAAAAAAAGTTGCAGCTGTTTTGTTGACATTCTGAATGCTTCTAAGTAAATACAATTTTTTTTATTAGTATTGTTGTCCTTTTCATAGGTCTGGAATTTTTCTTCTTAAGGGGAAACTAGTCTTTTGCTTTTGCCCATTTTGGATCACCTGAATTATTGCAGTATGTATCTCTTCATGGAGTTAGCTGACAAACTTGTCTCCACACCCTAAAAATCGTAATGGGGGTAATAAAAGTTAAGTTGACATTTTCACCATAACTGAAACTAATATCTCTCAAGTTTTACATTGGCCCCACCTAGATTTTACAAAGTGAATAATCAGTTCTATTCACAGCATGGGATTATTAGAATTAAGCAATTTGAAAGTCTGTCCTTGAAGGACTAGTAGAAAACTATAATCTTTACAGGAGGACTCTGTTCTTTAACTCCCATTACCATGTAATGGTAGTTACATTTAGCAGTACCCACATGAACGAAGACCTGAGAGTGTACACCCAAAAGCGTGAGCTTAAAATGCAAGACTTGGGTTTTTTTGTTGTTGTTGACATTGGTCCCAGGGAAAGTGGTGGCTATGCGTGCCCTTTTCCTTTTATTTGCCCAGGAAATTTGAGACTCCGTTAGAAGTACTTTAATTAATTGGACCAGTTTTTAAATTATGCCACATTTAAAATAGGGTAAATTTCCCTATATTGTGGTTTTCCCCTTTATAAATGAAAGACGAACTTTGCATTGTAGTGCAAGTTACCCAGTTTGTTTGAGTTTTTTTTCCCAGACTTAGCCATTCAAGTCATGTTTATCTGCTTAGCAGTTTAGGGAACAATTTGGCAATTTCATGGTTGTTTTTTTTTTTGAGATAATCGTTTTCTTAAAGTGCCAGTGTTTTAAAATAGCCTTCTTGTCATTTTACCCGCTTTTGTGATGGAGTGCTGTTTTGTTATATAATTTGGATTCTTTCCATTTGCATTTGTTAATGTAATTTCAGGAGGAATACTGAACATGAGTCCTGGATGATACTAATAAACTAATAATTGCAGAGGTTTTAAATACTAGTTAAGTGACTTTCACTTGAGAATTTTAAGATTTTGTTGCTTCCAATAATACTTCCTGGCAATGCTTAAATAAGTATTTAGGGCTGGCAAAGTTTTGCCCTTTTAAAATATGTTTATAAATAGGTAGGCTAATGGATTTGTCAAACATTCCAGGTACTCAGGATGTTAGATGTGGAAAAACTAAATTTGAGAAAATTTGCAAGAAACAAGTCTAAAATTTAGTGGGTAATTAAGATTCAAAGGTCTTATCAGTTTTATAATTCAAAGGAAAAACTCAGCAGGCCACAATTGTTACAAAAATTTTAGTCTTAGAGAATAAATGAATTAATCTGATTTAGATGGAAATTTCTCCTTTGGCTAGAGACTAAGACCAGGATTTCTGATCCATTGATAAATGAATAGTGAGTGCCCGTAGGAAACTTCTTTGAAATCTAGTGGGTTTGTTGGGACAACTGCTCTTTTATGTTAATGGTTTGGGCTTTAGATCTTGACTAGAAAACAAAGACATAAAACCATCAATCTGAAAACAGTTCTTTTCACTGTCCAAACAACCCCCTGAGATATGGATGAGTTTACAGTGAAAAACCATGTGAGTAAAAGTGAGAAAACAATCTCCTAACTTGATAGTGAAGGCTGAGTATTTGGGTAACAATTCTGATCTTACAAGAAACTAATTCATCATACAGAATTGTATTACTTTGTGTACTACATCATGCAAGTTTTAAATGACAAAAGAGAAAGTACCCTTTTAACAGTCATTCCACAGATCCTTACCGCCTAACTTGAAAACAAATAAGACAGCAAATTTGTGAATTAAAAATAGGGCTACTATCTAGATCAAGGAGGTCACTTAGTCTAGGAGAAAAGCATGCAACCTTTCCTTACAGGGCCTGTGATAGAGACACTTTGTGTATGATAGCGTAGTTTTACTTCAGCTTTACGTGCGTGTGACCCATTGGCCAGCATTTGGCTATCTTAGTAAGGAACTGTGATGAGTCAGTATTTTTCATTTATATTTTGTGGTATTTTTCATATGACCCTAGGAATACTTTATAATAGTAAAAAGCCAGAAAATTTGGGTATCCAAAAAAAGATACAAGATGGTTCATTTTCTTTTCTTTTTAAGAGTTTCACAGATTTTCCTGCCTGGACTAGCTTTGAACCATGATCCTCAGATCTCAGCCTCCTGAGTAACTTGGCAGACAGCCACCAGTGCCTGGCTAACCCAAGAAATTCTTTTTTGTTAGTCATGGGGTTTGAACTCTGGGCCTACACACAGTCCCAGAGTTCTTTTAGCTCAATGCTAGCACTCTACCACTTGAGCCGCAGTGCTACTTTCTCTTTTCCTATCTTCTAGCAAAGCACTTCCAGAACTTGGAAAAATCCCTAGGACTCAGCTAAGTTCCCAGGAATAAGGCAAAATGTTAGCTCTGTTGTAGGAATGGCACTATTTCCTAAAACAGTAACAAATGCAAAGCTCACAGCACAACTTAGTAGCCACGCATTTCTACTATGTCAATTTAAAACAAACCATACCTGCCAAGAGGAGATATAGTCACTTGGGCCTTTACAAATGTCCATTGGTTTGAACTCATTTAAATAGCTGGATTTATTGGGCAGCCATTGAAAAGGAGAAATTAATAACAGATCTGTAATCACATGAAAATAAACCTGAGGAATGTTTGGGCTAACGTGTGTGGAGACAAATGCAGTAAGGGAAAATGATGACAGGCCAGGGTGTAAGTACAGTAGAGGGTGTGCTGGTTCATGAGGCTCTGCGTGTGATCTCTAATACTCAAAGGAGAAGGGGGAAAGAACAGGCTTTTCCATAATGGCTCATGCTTGGAATCCTAACTGCTCAGGAGGCTGAACTCAGGATCATGGTTCAAAGCCAATTGGGCCAAAAAGTTCATGAGAATCATATTTCCAACTAACCAGCAAAAGGCCAGAAGTAGAGATGTGGCTTCAGTGGTACAGCACCAGCCTTAAAAAGCTAAGAGAGGCTGGGGAGGTGGCTCAGTGGTAGAGTGCTTGCCTTGCATGCATGAGGTCCTGGGTTCCATTCCTCAGCACCACATAAACAGAAAAAGCCAAAGTGGCACTGTGGCTCAATAGGTAGAGCGCTAGCCTTGAGCTGAAGAGCTGAGGGACAGCACCCAGGCCCAGAGTTCAAGCCTCACAACTGACCAAAAAAAATCTAAGGGAGAGAGTTTACACACTGAGTTCAAGCCCCAGTATCAGCAAACACACACATATGCACAAATATGAAAATACAGAAAAGAAAATCATGGAAAGGGGAGTTAGATCCTTAATTATTTCTTTGGCTGTATAATTAAGTGTGCCTAGTGTTCCATAGCACAATTTCATTCCCTTACATATACCAATTCAAGCTTTTCTATGATTTTGTCATTTCTAATAATACTGATGTGAACAGCTATACAATTTTCAGGTATAGATACCTAGAAGTGGAATCACTGGGTCAAAACACTGAACATTTTGGCAAATACTGATAAGTTGCTCCTCAAAAAATGAAAATGCTGAAGTATTTAAACAATGACAATGCCACATCTCTAGTCCGTCATTATGCTAGTTAACTGGAGATACAGTCTCAGACTTTCCTGCCAGCGTTGGTTTTGAACGATGATCCTTATGTCTCAGCCTTCTGAGTAGCTAGGATTATGGGAGCAACTGGCACCCAGTCTGAATCAGACTTTTTTACTGGGAAGGAAAATGACAGGGAGGATTACTGATCAAGATGCATTGTATACATAAATAGACCTGAAAAAATGACACACCCTTGTACAACTAGTTATGTGTGTGTGTGTCTTGAACTCTGGGCCTGGGTGCTTTCCCTGAACTTTTTGGCTCAAGGATAGCACTGTAGCAATTGAGTCACCTCAGCTCTACTTCAGGCTTTTTGGTGGTTAACTGGAGATGAATTTCATGGGCTTTCTTGTCTGGGCCAGCTTCAAACCATGATTCTTAGTAGTTAGGATTACAGGCATGAGCTGCTTGTACCTCGCTCGATGATGACTTTTTTTTGGGGGGGGGGGAGTTGGTCGTGGGAGCTAAACTGTGGGCCTGGGCACCATCCCTCAGCTCTTCAGTGCCCTACCACTTAAGCTACAGCAGCTTTTTTTCTGCTTATGTGGTACTGAGGAATCAAACCCAGGGCCTCATGCATGTGAGGCAAGCACTCTACCACCGAGCCACCTTCCCAGCCCTGATGATGATTTTTTTTAACTACTTATTTTTTTTTTAGCACCATGAAAAAAAAATTCATTTAAAAGATCAGCCAGGTTAATTTCCAATTAACCACAAAAATCAGAAAGTGGAGCTGTGGCTCAAGTGGTAAAGTGCTAGCCTTGAACAAAAAAGCTCAGGAACAGCGCCCAGATTTCAAGCCCCAGGACAAAAGAGAGAGAGATGGGCTGGGAAGGTGGCTCAGTGGTAGAACGCTTGCCTTGCATGCATGAGGCCCTGGGTTCGATTCCTCAGCACCACATAAGCAAAAAGAAAAAAGCCGGAAGTGGCGCTGTGGCTCAAGTGGTAGAGCACTAGCCTTGAGCTGAAGAGCTGAGGGACAGCGCCCAGGTCCAGAGTTCAGGCCCCACGACCGGACCCAAAAAAAAAAAAAAAGAGAGAGAGATAACCAAAAGATGAATAAACAACAACAAAAGCAAAAATGAACAGAATTATAGTAGTGGTAGGACAACTTCTAGGAAGTAGGAGATTGATTATTTGGAAAGGTGGAGGAGATCCTGAGACTTGGTCTCAACTGGAATGAAGCTCATCATGGCTTCACTTCCTTGTTGGGGATGGTAATTTAGGGTAAAAAGGACAGACTCCAAATGTGTTTACAAATATAATTGTATTTATAGGTGTAAATAGAAATTAAGTTTAGTTCCTTAGAGCTACCTAGAATTGCTAAATTAGCAGCTTTGCCAAATTTTTGGTTATTGGATTTCATTAGAGATCATCTTATAAAATGTTCTAAGCTGGGCACTGGTGGCTCACACCTGTAATCCCACCTACTCAGGAGGCTGAGAGCTGAAGATCGTGGTTCAAAGCTAGCCCAGGCAGGAACATCTGTCAGACTCTTATCTCCAATAAACCATCACAAAACTGGAAGTGGCATTGTGGCTCAAGTGGTAGAGCGCTAGCCTTGAGCTGAAGAGCTGAGGGACAGCGCCCAGGCCCAGAGTTCAAGCCCTATGACTGACAAAAAAAAAGTTCTAAACGTAACCAGATACAAAAATTCCTAAAATGATGGCTGCAAATGTCTTTTTATCTCCAGCACTCAGGATCAAGGAACGATCTTGAGTTTGAGGTTAGCCTAGAGTACACAGTGAGATTGGGTCAAACAAAACAAAACACCCAGCCTAGTGCTGGTGGCTCATACCAGTAATCCTAGCTACTCAGAAGGCTTGAGATCTAAGGATCCTGGTTCAAAGCCAGGTTGGGCAGGAAATTCTATAAGCTTCTTATCTCTATTTTTTTTTTAATGGAAGTGTGACTCAATGGTAAAGCACCAGCTTTCAGCAAAAGAAAAAAAGAAAGGGACAGAAAAAGAAAGAAAAGACAAAAATAACAAACTTAATTCCTAAAACTGTTGGATGTAGGAAGATATTCCCTGAAGGTAAAGAAAAAATTCTCCATTGCCACACTCTCAGGTGCTGGTGAAGAACCCAACGAAGATTCAATAAGAATGAATCACCTCACAGCAGATGTAGTTCTGCACCTCCACACAACGCCCCTCTCCCACCCCACTTCCTCTCCTAAAATTCAGGGGAGCCCCAGGCCTGCCCTGTAATGTGGAAGCAGCCTGCCAGGGCATGGTGAACAGGCTAGGCATATGAAGGCTCAGGAGAAGCAAGCTGATAACCTTTATCCACAGAGGGACAAAACTTGCTGCTTTGGAGTCCATAAACCCCAGAATAAAGCACAGCACCAGTTTTGGTCATAACATGCTGGAGGCAAATGGGGCTCAACTGC